GGGGACAGGGGACAGGACACAGGGACAGGGGACAGGACACAGGGACAGGGGTGGGGACAGGGGAGAGGGGACAGGGGAGAGATGATAGGGACAGGGGAGAGGGATGGGGATAGGGGAGAGGGTATTTGAACTGGGAATAGTGATGGGGACTGGGAATAGAGATGGGGACAGGGGACAAGGGTGGGGACAGGGGACAGGAGTGGGGACAGGGGAGGGAGCACAAGGACAGGGGACAGGGGTTGGGACAGAAGACAGGGCATGGGGACAGGGGAGAGATGATCGGGACAGGGATAGGGATGGAGACTGAGAATGGATGAGGACAGGGGATAGGGATGGGGACAGGGAGAGGGATGGGGACAGGGAATAGGGATGGGGACAGGGAATAGGGATGGGGACTGGGAATACAGCTGGGGACAAGCAACAGAGAAAGGGCAGGAGACACGGGACAGGGAAAAGGACGGGAAACGGGACACAGGATGAGGACTGGGGATGTGGGCTGAGCACAAGAGACACAGATGGCGAACGTGGGACAGCGATGGGGCTGAGGGAGAAGCGATGAGGACAAGAGGACATGACCCCCGCCATTGCCCCCAGGGCAAGAAGTTCGTGGGGGACCTGGGCTCGGACGGGACGATTACGTGGCAGGAGACGGGGCAGGTCTTCAACTCCCCGAGCGCCTGGGCCACGCACTGCAAGCGCCTGGTGAACCCCGCCAAGAAGTCGGGCTGCGGCTGGGCGTCCGTGCGCTACAAGGGCCAGAAGCTGGACCAGTACAAGGCCGCCTGGCTGCGCCAGCACCAGCCCAACGTGCCACCCCCCGAGGAGGTGGGACCGGCGTCGCCTCCCCGTGGCACCCCCAGGGCAGGGGGCGAGCTGGGTGCCAGCCCCGTCTGCTCGCAGAGCTTGGCCAGCGAGGGCGAGGAGGAGGAGCCGCCCGAGGATGAGGAGGACGAAGCGGCCAGGGAGGGTCGGGTGGCGATGCCGGAGCCGGCGGCTCCCAAAAAACCGGAGGAGAGGAGCAAGAAGCAGCAGGGCAAGAGCCTGGCGGAGCCGGCGGGCACGGGTGAGCCGCCGTGGGGGTGCCGGGGGTCCCCGGGCAGCCCGGCCGCGGTGACGGGACCGTGTCCTTGGCAGATGCCGGCAGCGCAGGGAAAAGGCTGGAGGTGAAAGCCCGGGTGCCCGTCCGCTACTGCACCCTGGGCACCCGCGACTCGGCCAGGTAGGGGACCCCGGGACCCCGGGGCGCGGCAGGGAGGGGACAGCGGTGACCGCGGGGTTGTGCCTCTTCCAGGAGCCCCCAGACCCTGGTGGAGGTGACGTCCTTTGCTGCCATCAACAAATTCCAGCCCTTCAACGTGGCCATCTCCAGCAACGTGCTCCTGCTGCTGGTGCGTCCCCTCCCCACACTGATGGCACCGGGGACGCCTGCAGCGAGCGGGGTGTCCCTCGTGTCGTCCTTTTAGTGCTAAACCGCTGCTTTTGACCTTTTCCTTTAGGATTTCCACAGCCACCTGACGCGGAGCGAAGTGGTGGGGTACCTGGGGGGGCGGTGGGACACCAACACCCAGTGTAGGTGGGGTCTGGGGGGGGTGGGGGTGGCTCTGCCGTGGGCCGGGCTGTCACCCAGCCCCGTGTCCCCGCAGTGCTCACGGTGCTTCGAGCCTTCCCGTGCCGGACCCGCCTGGGCGATGCCGAAGCCGCGGGCGCCGTGGAGGAGGAGGTGAGGGGCTGCTCCAGCCCGGGGAGCGGGCAGGGGGCTCCGGAGGGCCCGAACCCACGGTTGGTGCCCCCCCAGATCTGCCAGAGCCTGTTCCTGCGGGGGCTGTCGCTGGTGGGGTGGTACCACAGCCACCCCTTCGGGCCCGCGCTGCCGTCCCTGCACGACATCGACGCGCAGATGGATTATCAGCTCAAGCTGCAGGGCAGCGGCAACGGCTTCCAGCCCTGCCTGGGGCTCATCTGCGGTACGTGCCCGCCCCTGGGGGTCCCAGGGGGCCGAGGCTGCTGTCACCCCCCTGTGCCAGCCCCCTCTGTCCCCACAGGGCCCTTCTACCACGGCAACCCCGGCGTGGAGTCCAAAATCGCTCCCTTCTGGGTGATGCCGCCGCCAGAGGTAAGTGGGGGAGAATTTGGGGTGGGGTCCCCCCACTTGGCACCCTCGGGTGCCCCCCGGGGTGGTGTCAGGTCCCAGAGCTGTGGGGTGACCCCTGCCCGGCTCCCTCACCCTCCAGCAACGGCCCAACGATTACGGGATCCCCATGGACGTGGAGGTCACCTACATCCAGGACGGGTTCCTCACCAACGACGTCGTGCAGGAGATGGTGAGAGAGGGGTGGGGGCCCCCAAAGCCCCCTGAGCCTATTGGGGGGCAGGCTGGCACCCCACCACTTGTCCCCATGTCCCCTTAGCCCTGGTGACGGTGCCAGCCCACCGCGGTCTCGGTGCCGCAGCTTTGGGGCACCCCCAGGGCCTGCAGCCCCTCTGTCCCCCCCAGACGCTGCTGGTGGAGTTCTACAAGGGAGCCCCCGACCTGGTGAAGTTCCAGGAGCTCTGGAGTCAGGATCAGACCTACCTGGACAAGCTGAAGGTGGGGAGGGCTGGGAGGGGAGGGGGTTTTGCTGGGGCACCCATCCCCTGTGCTGGAATGAAGCGGGGGCTCCCCCTCTGCAGGGCTCCCTGGCCTCCCGCACCCCTAAAGACCAGAGCTTCACCCACGTCCTGGAGCAGATCTTCAGCCTCCTCAAGCTCAGTGGGTGAGCGCCCGGGGGCCCTGCACTCGGAGCAGGCGCCTCCCGCAGCCCGGGCGGGGCTCGCAGCCCCGGGGCTCCACCGGAGCCGGTACCGGGCAGCCCCCGGAGCCCCCCGCGACCCCGCCGGCCCCGGGGAGTCTGTGGCTCAGCGGTTTGTGGAAGCGGTAGTTTGATTAAAGAGCAGTTCCCGAGAGGCGGCTCTGCTGGCTGGGGACATCCTGCCATGGCCGGGAATAAGGGGATGGGAGGGATTCCTCCCTGGCAGGGTGGGCAGCCCTGGCACAGGGTGCCCAGAGCAGCTGTGGCTGCCCCTGGATCCCTGGCAGTGCCCAAGGCCAGGCTGGACAGGGTTTGGAGCAGCCTGGAGCAGTGGAAGGTGTCCCTGCCCGTGACCTCCCAGACCCCATCCAATCCGAGCCATTCCCCGATTCCACGACGCAGCCGTTAGAAAGAAGAAAACATTTAATACTTTCATTCAGAGATACAAGTCAAGAATTGTGGGTCATCATTTTTTTTCCCCCTAAAAACCAGGAGAAACCATTACAAAAGAAAAAAAAAAACAAACAAAAAAAACCAAAAACGAAACAAAACCAAACAAAAGATCTAGCGAGGTGTCCCAGCTGACAGAACGCGTTTCAATCCACCTGAGCAGGAGCCGGTGTCCCCGTGACGGGGAAGGGACACCCCAGGACCCCGGTCCCATGGGCTCCCTGCCCTGCTGGGAGCAGGGGGGGCTGCCCTGGGCCCCCCTGGGGCTGGGGTCACTTTTTGGGGCGCAGGGGTCGGACACGTGTGGACATGCACGGATCAAATCCTTACAGGGAAGGGGAGCAGGAGCTGGGAGCAGCAGGAACAGGGGTGCTGCAGCACAGCCCTGGGGCTCCCAGAGCACAGGGGTGCTGCAGCACAGATTTGGGGCTCCCAGAGCAGGGCTGGGGTGCTGCAGCACAGCCCTGCACAGAGTTGGGGCTCCCAGAGCACAGGGGTGCTGCAGCACAGATTTGGGGCTCCCAAAGCAGGGCTGGGGTGCTGCAGCCCAGCCCTGCACAGATCTGGGGCTCCCAGAGCACAGGGGTGCTGCAGCCCAGCCCTGCACAGATCTGGGGCTCCCAGGGCAGGGCTGGGCCCCGTCCCAGCCCCACAAGGGGAAGATCCCACTTTTGGAGCAAGGAAAACCATGGAGCCCAGCAAGCACTCCGTGCCAAGCCCGTGCCCAGCTCCTGGCCAGCAAAAGCACAGCTCAGGGAGAAGTGGGGGCAGAAGTGCCCCCGAGATGAACCATCCCTGCTCCCGGGGGCAGAGGGGAGTGTGGCCCCCAGGGAGGGTGGCTGTGGGCAGGGTGGGAGCACAGGGAGGGCACAGGGAGGGCCAGGGGAGCTCCGGCTGCAGGAGGGATCCCCGGGAAGGGGGAATGGGCAGAGGAGCCACAACCTCTGCCCCACCACTGAGACACCCTGGGCTGCAGCCCAGTTCCAGATGATCCTCCAGGTGTGACCGACTTTGGGAGAGTTTGTAGCAGGAAAAGCCCGAGGTCCAGGAAAAAACCACGGGCAGAAGAAGCAGCCCCCCACCACGGGGCTAAGCTCTGTGGGGAGGGGGCCAAGCGGGCAGGGGACATCCCTACTGTCCCTGCAGGGTGGGCAGGGATGGCTCCAAGGCCCAGGCAGGGCTCAGCACCTGCCCTGCAGGGCTGCCTTAGTGTTCACTGGGTGTTTTAGTGTTGCTGTGCCCCAGCTCCCCCTCCCCTGATCCCTCTGGGATCCCTCTGGGGCATCTGTGGGGACAGGGGCAGCGTTTGCTGGGGCGGGAGGTGGGGCTGGGGCTGCGTGTCCAGGACACATCCCAGTCCCATCCCTGTGTCCAGGACACATCCCAGTCTCATCCCTGTGTCCAGGGAACATCCCAGTCCCATCCCTGTGTCCAGGACACACCCCAGTCCCTTCCATAAATCCAGGACACATCCCAGTCCCCTCTGTGTGTCCAGGGCACATCCCAGTCTCATCCCTGTGTCCAAGGAACATCCCAGTCCCATCCCTGTGTCCAGGGAACATCCCAGTCTCATCTGTGTGTCCAGGACACATCCCAGTCCCATTCCTGTGTCCAGGACACATCCCAGTCCCCTCCATGTGTCCAGGACACATCCTGGCTCTCCCACCTACCTCACCAGGTGCTGGACCCAAAGGAAAGCCGGGAAGTGGGGAGGGACAGGGACAAGGACAGGGACAGGGATGGGGACAGGGACAGGGACAAGGACAGGGACAAGGACAAGGACAGGGACAGGGCAGCGCCGGCGGCACGGCCGGGGCTTGGGGCGCACAAAGTACCGAAGTTCAAGCACCAGAAGGACAAAGAAACAAAATCCAAAAAAACCCAAACTGACGGGGGGAAGGGGCCGTGGGACCCTTCTGGTTTGTTCCCTGGTAGCGCCTGGCCCCGAGGGGAGGCGGGGAGGGCGGCAGGAGCTGGAATGGAGCCCGGGACACTCGGGGCGGAGCGGCGCCGTTTCACTGAGGTAGCGGGACCAGCACTTCCACGTAGTTGAGCGGGAAGAAGCCGGACTGGCCGTGGATCATCCCCTCGTACCAGTTCTCGTCGATCTGGTTCGTCAGGGTGATGATGTCGCCCTCCTTGAAGCCCAGCTCGCCGTCGTTCTCGGGCTCGAAGTCGTAGAGGGCTTTGCAGCAGGGCTGGTCCAGGGGGGCTGCGGGGACAGTGGGGACACGTCAGCAGGACCCTGCACAGCCCTGCCCTGGCACCGGGGACGCCTGGCACGGGCTCTGCATCCTGCCTGGGCTGGCAGGGCTGGCTCCAGTGGTGTTTCACTGCTCCTCTGCTCCCCGCTCCTGTCGTGGCACAGATCTGCCTCCAACAGCCCCGGGCTGCTCCTGCCTGCACTGCTGCATTCCCACCTCAGTGGCATCACTGGCAAGCCACCTACCCCTCCTGAGAGCTGAGAACCTGCCCTGGACCTCGGTGGTGGGGTGGGACATGGAGGGGGACTCTGGAAGGGTCACCCCACACCTGAGGGTGACAGGAGGGACAGGCAGCAGCTGCCTCCCTGGTCACGGGGCTTCAAATCCATGAGCAGCCCCTCAAAACTCAGGAGAAGCACGAAATCTCATTCCCACAGCTCAGCTCCAGGGATTTAAGCATCACCTTTTGGCTGCAAAGGGATTTTCTGCGGGGTTTCTTGCTGCTCACTCTGTGTTCTGACATTTTGGGACTCAGCTTTGGAGCTGGGAGAATCCCAGTGGAAAGGGACAGAGCTAAGAGAGATCTCCAGAGCCTGCAGGACCCCCCCAGCCCTTCCCACGGTGCTGGGGCTCTCCCAGCCAGGGCAAGGGAATGGCAGCAAGGGCACATCCAGCTGCTGAATTTCCCTGGAAGTGTCCAAGGCCAGGTTGGACAGGCCTTGGAGCAGCCTGGGACAGTGGGAGGTGTCCCTGCCCATGGCAGGGGGTGGAATGAGATATCTTGAAGGTCCCTCCCAAGCCAAACCATTCCATGATTCCAGGCCCCACAGCAAGGGAGGGCCCAGCACGAGAAGAGCACTCAGAAATCACCACAAGCAGCAGCCAGACATGGATGGGTTTGCAAGAACTCCCCAAATCACCCCAAATCGCTGGTCCCACCACCACGGCCCTGCTCCAGGCTCCTTCCCAGCACAACAGCTCCAAGCCCCAGCCCAGCCCAGGCATCCCAAGGTCCTGCAGGAGGAACCACGGACCCCACATCACCCCACAACCCCTCTGGGGCCCAGCTGGGACCCCACAAACTCCATGAGCTGAGGTTCTGCCTCCTGCCTCCAGCCTTCCACAGGGACACAGGGAGCAGGAGTGGGAGAGATCCGGGCTGGGTGCTTGTAAGAACAGGGGAATCCTTGAAGTGTCTCACGGGAAAGCAGCTGATCCTTGTGGATCAGGACATGCCTGGGTGCTGGGAGCTGCTGCAGCTCCTCCAGGTGAGCCAGGCTTTGCTTTTGGGGGTGGAAAATCCCACTGGAGCGTGGCTGGGTTAATTCGGGGCTCAGCTCAGGCTCAGCACGGAGGGATGAGCAGCTCCAAGGAGCAGCAGCAGCAGCAGGGAGGAGCAGGCAGGAGGGACGGGGAGAGGAGGCCACACACGGAGCAGTGCAGAGGGAGGAAACTCACGGATGCTCCTGACGGAGGCCCGGGACGGCTTGTCCGACCGGAAAGAGGCGGAAGCTGCTTCCAAACAAAAGAGAGACATGCTTAAACCAACGGGGACAGGCAGGGATCTGTTAGGAGAAACAGCAGGGCCCCCATGCTGTTAGGAACCCGCCGGGATCAGGGAGGGAGGGAGGGATGCAGCGGGATGGAAGACAAGGAGGGAGGGAGGCTTCAGTTTTCCTGTCTGGCACTGACAGCGAGAGGCCCAGGCTGGAGACCCCTCTGGCACATCCCCAAAGCCAACACAGCAAAAAGCTCCTGGGTCCCAGGAGACAAGAGCCCGATCTAGAGACATTCCTGATGTTTTCCAGAGCCACAGCAGGAACATCCTGTGCAGGCAGAGGAGCTGCCCTCCTTCCCTGGGAGGCTGCTCCAGAGGCAGCAGTGAACACCTGGGACAGCATTACCTGAGACTTTGGGGGTGGGGTTGCAGGAGAAGCCCCCGTTGGACTGGTCAGACTCCCTGAAGTCGAAGGTCTCCCTGGGCTTGGGTTTGTATTCCCGCTTGGGACGTGAGGCAGCCTCCCTCATCCTGGGACAGGGGAAAGAAACGTGGAAAAGCGCAGTGAGGAATGGAACAGGATGGGATCAACACGGTGTTTATCCTCCTGGGGGGCTGCACAGGGCAGGAAGGGGTTTGGAGACAGGGATTTGCACAAGTCCCTGTGCCGGAGCCTTTGGAATGTGGGGCTTCCCCAGGGTTTGGAGAGGGCCCACACATCCCAGGTTTTGCTATGGAATGCTCAGGAATTCAGGCCAGCAGAGGACACTCGTGCTGTAGTTTGAAAGCTCAGACTTGGCAGGATCCTCCCAGCTCCTCCCAGCTCAGGGCAGGCGCTGGATCCACTCTGCAGTTTCTCCCAGGAGGGAAGAGCAGCAGGGCTGCATGGCCAGATCCTCCCCAGAGCGGGGAGGCTGAGGAAGGAGAGGCAGGATGAGACTTCCTCAGCCCGGATTTGGGCTGGATCAGACCCCCAACACCCAACTAAATTCAAATCCCACCTGGAGCAGCCACAGGAATTGGCTTTTTCAAGGCTAGGTTGGACAGGGCTCAGAGCAACCTGGGGTAGTGGAAGGTCTCCCTGCTCCATGAGCCCCAAAATCCCTTCCAACCCCATCCACTGTGGGATTCTGGCATTCCAAGGGGGATTCAGGTGTTTGCAGAGGTTTCCAGGGACTCACCTGCGCTTGAGCTTCTCGGCCAGCTCGTCCAGGATCTGCACGGCCTGCCTGTGGTAATCCAGCTGGGCATCCACCAGGGCTGACAGCTGGCTCACCTGCTCGATCTGGGCAACACGGGGCTGGCATCAGCACCTGCTCCCAGCTGGGCACCCCTGCACTGCCCAGGAGGAGCTCTGGGATTCAGCTGAGACCATTCCCTACCACTCTGGGATTCCCAAACCCTTCCCAGTTGTGTTACCCACCCTCACCACCCTCAGAGGAGCGATTTTGGTGCCAGGCACAGACTCTGCTCTGGCCAAGAGCTGGGTCAGGGGCTAAACAAAGGCCCGTCACTCAAATCTGGGCTTTCCCAAAGCAGAATCACACGTGGGAAGAGAGGAGTGGGAATTGGTGTGTAATCAGTGCCTCCCTCAGGAGATCCCACCCCAGGGACACAGAACCCAGCTCTGCTCTCCCACACTCACATCTGTCTCCAGGAGGTTGTGCATGCTGGTCTCTGCCACTTCCTTGGACTCCTCAAACTTCTCCATGGCCTGCCGGAGCTCCTCGTCAGGGATCTTGCCCTGTCGCTTCTTCTTGTAGTCAAAGTCCAGGCGCCTCCCTTCCAGCTTCTTGAGATGGTGCTGGGGGAGGATGGAGAGAACAGGGAAGGGGGAGAAGCCAGAACCTTGGCAGGGCAGCTCCAGTTACAGGCTGAGTTCATTGGTGTCAGAAACCTGATCTCCTGTGGCTCCCACCTTTGCTCCAGGTGGGAGAGAGGCCCCAGGGTGTGATGGGGGAATGATTCCAGACCCTTTCCACTGAGGAAAAGGCTGCAGAGTGGCCCGGGTCTGCTCCCCACAAAGCTTTTTGGGAAGGTGAAGAGCTGTCCTGCTCCTTTCAGCTCCCCAGGAGCTGCAGGGATCTCTGGACAGCAGGAATGTGGGTTCTGGGCACTGCACTCCTGGATCTTAGGGCAGGGATGTTTAAAGCAGCCCCATGGAAATGGGGACAGACAGGCACTGAGGCAGCCCTTGGTGGTTATTTCACAGGCACTGAGGCAGCCCTTGGTGGTTATTTCACCCAGGACAGCACTGACAGTGAAAACTCCCTCAAGAGACTGCCCTGGGAAATTGGAGGTCGGGATGGATCCTGTTACAAGGCCTGCACTTGTCTGTGTGTAGCACACAGGAGCTGCTGAGCTCCCTGTTCTCCCAGTGAGACCCCAGAGGGATCTTTGGGATGCTGAGTAGAGACCTGAGGGGAGCTTGCTCAGAGCTTGGAGCCCAAATTTATCCCATCTGGGAGCTCGCAGCACTAAGAACCCATTTCAGCAAGCCCAGAAGGGAGCTTGGGATGTATCCCCATGGCAGCCTCCATCACACATGGCAAATGGAGAACCATTCCAACCTGCGTGCAGCCTTTTGGGCTGCTCAGGAGCAGCAGGAGCAGCGTTGGGCAGGGAGGAAATACCAGAGAGTCTGGAGGGAGAAAACACACACAGTGCAGGGAATTCCTGCCAGCCCCTGGCTCCCAGCACTCCAGAGCAGGCAGCTCCGCTCCCAAAGAGCCAAAATGCTCAGAGAGCAGGGAGATGAGAGAAAACCATGGGGGTGTTTACCTGGATCTCTTTCAGGTCCTTGTCACACAGGTTCTGCAGGGGATCAATGAAGTTCTGCTTGACCTCGATGTCCAGAGAGTCCTTCACCTCCGCCAGGCGTTTCATGGATTCACCAGCGTCCAGGAGAGCATCCCCTGCAGGGAGAGGGAGAGGGAGAAGGGGATGAAACAGCCTGAGGCCCAGGCATCTGCCTCACATCTCTTCCTTCTTCTGTCGGAACTCAAAATGTCCCTCAGACATTTTTAGAGGTTCCAGGCCTTGGTCAGAAGCATCTGAGACCCTGGCACAGCTGCAAACAGCTGTGATTTTGGGTTTGAGCCATGGAATGACTTACCAACTTTGGAGGTGGAACAAGCAGTCACAAAGGGTTAGATAGGATAGTAAAAGTAGTTACAAAACAGAGGGGAAATTTTTTAGTATTGTACAGGGGGGTTTTAGCACCTGTCCAGGGGGGGGTTTTACTTTGTACATGGGGGTCAGAAGTTCTAAGATGGAGGAAAGTGGGCTGATCCTGTTCTTCCTCCTTCTTCTTCCTCGCCTCCATGTTCTTGGTGATGTTGGCACTCACAGATTGGTTTAGAGTAGAAAAGCACTTTGTAATGTAGGTAGTAGGTATTGGGGGAAAACTATAAACATGTAACACGTAATGTACCATATAAAAGATAGAAAATCACCATTTACTATAGGTAATAGGCATTGGGGAAAACTATAAACATGCAATATGTAATATATCATATAAAAGATAGCAGCAGCCCTGGGTGGTGGGGGAGAAGAAGAAGACAGCAGACAGGGAGGATGTCAGGGTGTGTGTGTGCCTCTGCCCAGGCCGCTGACCAAGCAGCCTCAGCCCGAAAAGAAAATCTTTTAGATACCTCACAATAAACTGCCTTGAGACCCAACAACAAGAGCCTGTGCAGTTTTTCTTTGGAATCACGGGTTGGAGGAGGAATTTCACCACCACATGGGACCCCAGACGAAGCCTGGGGTTCCCACACAAGCCCTGCTGGGTCCCAGAATTGTGGGCTTGGAAGGTTCCTAAAGCCCATCGAGTCCCACCTTGCACCGTCCCAGGTTGCTCCAAGCTGGCTTTGGACAGTCCCACATTTGAAGTCTCTCACTGAAACCTGTTCAGGTCCATCCTTTTCTAAAGCTCTGGCCACTCTGACACTTAAGCCAGCAAAGCATATTCAGTGCTGGCTTTTTAGTGCAGAGAAAACATTTAGAGATGAAATTATTCCTGTGCAGCTTTGGCAAAACAACAATTTCAGCAGTGCATGAACACAGGAAAATACATGAGTGAGAGAGAGAGAGTCAAGGGAAAACATCTCTCCACTGTCCAGCTGGAAAAATCAATAGAACAGAAGTGATATTTCACTTGTAATAACTCTGAAAAACCTGGAAGGGAGGGAATGGAGCCCTCAGTGCTGCTTTAAGGAGGCCATTAAGGAAATAGAGTTTGTTGTGCTCTCCTAAAAGCTTCCTTCCCTTGCTCTCCTCAGTCCCTGTGAGCCAGGATTGATGCAGAGCTCTGAGCTGGCCAGGCAGGATCTCCAAAATCCTCTGTCAGCCCCAAAAGCAGCCAGAGGTTTTTAATTTTCCTGAGGCAAGGCAGCTCCTCCCTGCCCTGGCAGAGCCAGCTGTGCTGCCAGGGGCCATCACGTGTGCTGGGGATTAAAACTGATGTCACCAAAAGGCTTCACCCCCTCCTCCCTGCCAGTCACACGTGGCTCCAAGGAACAGCCAGAAGATTTCTTGGCTTCAGCCTCACAATGGAATCACAGCAAGGTTTGGCTTGGAAGGGATCCTTAAGAGCTCTGTGAAACTCCCGATTTTGCTCCATCCCATTGCTGATTTTCTGCTCAGTTTGGAGGGAAGTTTTTATTTCATGTGCAAATTTATCTCGGTGTTTAATAAGAAAGTGGATTGAGATGCAGGATATCTGGGATCACAGAATAACAGAATGGTTTGGGATGGAAGGAGCTTAAAGATCATCCAGTCCCACTTTCCACTATCCCAGGCTGCTCCAGCCTGGCCTTGGACACTTCCAGGGATTCAGGGGCAGCTGCAGCTGCTCTGGGCACCCCGTGCCAGGGCCTCACCCTCCTCACAAGCAGGAATTTTTTCCAATATCCCATCTAAACCTCCTCTCTTTCCCTTGGAATCTGCTCACTCTGGAAGCTTCTGAACCCCTTTTAAGCCCCACACACTTGTTCAGTGTTCAAAGTTCACCCAAACCCTTTCAGAATTCAGAGTTCCACCTCCGAAATGGATAAGGCCCCACTCCCCCTCCACAGTCCTGGGGGGCACTCACCGAAGTTGGAATCCTCTCCCAGCTCCTTCCCATAGCGGATCATGCACTCCCCCAGCAGCCCCTCGGACTGGGGGTACCCGGGGTTCTTCACCTGCCCACGGATCTTGGACATCGTGTTGAGCATGGTGAGCTTGGCTCTGGAAGCTGCCGCACAAACACCTCAGCCTCTGCCACCTCTGTGTTCCCTGCATCCCTCAGAAAGTCTTTTCCCCCCTCCCCGTTACACCCAAAGCCAAGAGGCTCCGTTGTCTCCATCCCCCAGAAATATTCCTCACTTCTTTTCCAAGACAGAAAGCAAAAATAGTTCCCCACTGCTTGGCCAGGAATGGCCAAAGGAGTTTCCCCAGCCCTCCCAGGGTCCCTGGAGTGCTCTCAGAGCAGCTGGTTGGAAGGATGCAGGGCTGACAGAGCCAGCCACCCCTTCCCAGCCCACAAACACCATTTTCCCTGCACATTCTGAGAAGAACGGGTCCCCTCAGGGCCTCTCTAGCTGCATCTGTTCTATCCCAGCTCAGCAGCCTGGATTTAGGGAAGGAGGGGTACCCAGATCTCCCCCTGATCCAAACCTGGAGCAAAAGGGACCTCCCTGATCTCCCTGGAAAGCTGGGAAGGGGACAGGAGAGGTGCAGGTCCTCACCTGGGTTGGGCTGGAGGTACTCTATGGTTCTGGTGAGAACTTCTGTCACAGCCTTGCTGGTCACGTCCACTTTCTGCAGGAGACACAAGAGCCCAGTGAGCATCAGCTCAGGGATTCAGCCAATCCCACAGGAGCCACGGGGTGGTTTTGGGGATTCCCCTGGTTCCCCACTTGTGGGAATGCAGGGCTTCCCTCTGGCTGCCCTGGGACCCTGGCAGGGGTCAGGAACCCCCTGGACAGAGCCCCCAGAGACACTGGCTGTGATCTCTGTCCATGGAAAAGAGTTTTCAATCTTACAGGATCAATTACCAGCTCTGAGTGTTCGATATCAGTAATAATTAAGTGTGGCACGGGTGCAAAAGTAAAATTTTAGGATTCTAGATGAGGGGTGCAAAGGGGACAAGGTGGAGGAAATTGGGTGTGCCTTGTCCTTTTTCTCCTTCTTCATGCCCTCCATGTCTCACTGTGGGGTTGGCATTTTTCTGTTGGCTCAGGCTGGGGACACACTGTCCAACGTGGGTGACAGATATTGGCACGTTCTTGTAAATCCAGCCCAGGGAGTTTCTGGTATTTAATGTTTGTCACATCCCACTGAGGGATGTTACAATTTAAAATAAATTTACAATTTATATTGTAAATGCAGCCCAGGGAGGTTCTGGTATTTAATGTTTGTCACATCCCACTGAGGGCAGAGCCCCACACGCTGCCCTGCAGGACAGAGCTGGGCAGGGCAGCAGAACATGTGAGAGAT